GGGACCTTATAATGCAGTGGTTTAGGGGCTGAGGGTCTAGTGGCAGCTCTTCCACTTAACCTATATCTGCATGCAGGCTTTTCTAATCTTCCCCCCTGTCACATTTGGGCCCAGACTTCACCTTTTCAGCAAGGCCTTTTATCCACCACTCTCTGATGGCATCCTCCCTCACCTCTGCTGGTAAACCCCAAACTGTCTGCCAGAACAGGAGTGCCAGATAGGGAAAGCTTGTGTTCTGTGGGGTGCCATCCCCATTGCCAGAGCAGTACAAAATAGCTCAAACTGGCTGGAGGAGGTGCTGAATACACACACACACACACACACACACAGATACATACAGACACACATAAACACAGACACACACATATATGTATATTCATACATACTTATACACACATATACATACATATACATAAGCACATGTACATGCATACACACATATTCATATACACACATATACATACACACATATACACATATACATACACACACACATACATAGAGACATATTTACACATATATACATATACACACATACACACATTCACACATATACATAGACACATGTACATGCACACACACATACACTGACATGTACATTCACACACATGTACATGCACACACACATACATGTACAACACACACACAGCTCCAGCTCACTTAAATGTTTTAACCTTGTCACAGTTTAAATGTTTTTAATCTACCACAGTTTAAATGTTTTGCTTTACCACAGTACCAAAGCATGTTTTATACAAGCACAGGAGATTATTTCTTCAGGATTTATTCCAACATGAGTGTTCTGAGCAGACTGAGGTGGGCAAGCCTGAGCTACAAAGTCCAGTGTGCTGGATGAACTCTATACATTTTTACTTATGGTATATTCAACATAAGACTGGGTCACAGGGACCTTGGTCCACTGTGAGTCTCCATTGTAAGTCAAGCACTGTTGTTACCGTTCCTAAGTAACAAAAGTAAAATAAAGCTGCCCAGGAGGAGTGGGCAGGCAGGTGGCAAGGTACAGAGAGGCCTGTCACACTGGCAAAAGTGAATGTGTCGTTTGAGTGTAGTCTCAGGGGTTGTAATATTTAGATAGATTTTGGTGTTGTGTTTATGCATTATTCATGGCTGCCCTTGCTATTTCCTTAGAGACTACTTTTGGGGGTACAATGAATTTTAGAAAGCAAAACCCATCCCTTCCCTCCGGTGCCATCCTATTACCTGGTCCTCCATACAACGCTGACCCTGCAAACTAGGGTTTCTCTTTTCCAAGGCATCCCCAGGAACTAAACTCATATTCTTTCCCTGCTTTTCTGCTTAGGAATGGGCTGCAAAGAATTCGCCTGTCTTAGGTAGAGTTGCTATTGCTGCCATGGAGCACCGTGACCAAAAGCAACTTGGAGAGGAAAGGATTTATTTGGCTTACACTTTGACAGCACTCTTCACCACTGGATGAAGTCAGGACAGGAACTCAAGCAGGGCAGGAACCTGATGCAGAGGCCGTGGAGGAGTGCTGCTTATTGGCTTGCTCCCCATGGCTTTGCTCAGCCTGGGTTCTTATAGAACCCAGGGCCACCAACCCAGTGATGGCAGCATCACCTACAATGAGCTGGGTTCTCCCCCATCAACCATTAAATAAGAAAATACTCTACAGGATGGCCTGAAGTCTGATATTATGGAGACATTTTCTCAACTGAGGCTCACCACTCTCTGATGACTCTAGCGTGTGTCAAGTTGACATGAAAGTAGCCAGCACACTGCCCTACCCTATAGGATGAAGGGTGAGAAAATGTTTATTTCAGAAGGACCTTGTTTTATCATGGAGGCCTGGACTTGGGGCTGGTTGTGTGAAGTGAGGGCTGCCTTGGGGACAGGGCCCTTAGCCTGCAGGGTCCATTGCTTACCATGATTCACATTGTCAGGGCTGTTTGGACTAGATGGCAGCTAGCTGCTGACCATGGCACAATAACTGCTTCTTGAAGGTGTGTGTGTGTGTGTGTGTAAAAGTCCCACACCCTTTGGGATCACAGGTGACTTGTGCTGTGAACGTATAGGAAGAAAATCTGAGTTGGAGGTGGATTTCCCACTCCGGGATCAGATTAATGTTACAAGATCTTTAAACCCCAGAAAACAAGTGCTGAAATCGTATATTAAGGATTTTTTTTTTTTTTAGTGTGTGTAGATGGGGTGATGTGTGCAGTGCTTGAGCACATATGTGCACGTGTGTGAGCGTAGGCATCCACATAGAGGTCAGCGGTGATGCAGGTGTTCTGGTCTGTCCCTGTGCCTTACTCTTCGAGAGGGGGTCTTTTAATGAACCTGGAGCTAGGCTGGTGTCCAGCAAGCCCAGTGCCCCTCCTGTCTCTGCTCACACTAGGGTTATAGACTCATGCATAGCCACACCTGCTTTTCTATGTGGATTCTGATTGTATAGCAATTGTTCTTAACTGCAGAATACCCCCAAGCACTGACATTACAACTTCTTAAAACATTTATGTATGGTGTGTGCGTGTGCGTGTGTGAGTGTGTGTGTGTATAAGTTCTCTTTTCCCACAGCTTAGGAGAGAATATTATTTCTTAGTAGGAATGCTTTCCCTCCTGGACTGTTACTGCCTTTGCAGGAGGCATTTGGTTAGAAATGGGCCAGCCACACTGAACATCCACTCACCCACTCACCCCAGGCACTGTGCTGGAAGCACATGCAACTATGGAATAGCAGTGTAGCCTGACACTTCCTTTAGTGAAAGGAGGAAAGTGAGACCAGCTGCCTCCAGCCCTTGTTCTGAGAGGCGGTGAGAAGCACCTCCAGGTGAACCAGGCATAGGACACTGTAAACACATTTCTCTGCCAGACTGACAATGAGTTTGATCCATGAAACCCATACAAGGAAAGGAGAATCTGCTGTCTTCTGACTTTCACACACTCATGCACTAATAATATCCATCCATCCATCCATCCATCCATCCATCCATCCATCCATCTTATAGTACCTTCAGGGTGTCTGTCTGTCTTTATAAGCTGGCGTATGAGGCAAGGCCACCATGTCACATGTAAAAAAGGTAGCTCTGAAGACTCGTCTCTGGTCTTGATTTATACTGTTCCTGAATGGCAAAGTCAGAAACCTGGCAAGCCTGGCTCTGTATAACACAGCTGCAGCCTGCCTGCCCCTCCCTTCCTCCATCTCTCCCTCCCTCCCTCCTCTCTTCCTAGTCCACTGGTTCTCTTCCTCTCACTCTCTGCTTGCTCTCACGCTCTCCGAGGCTGACTGTAGAGGCCAGACTCTCCATTTTCATAGATGAGGATCTGGGGTTGCTATGGCAATGGAACAGCTGACAGTGAAGAGTCACATGACTTCAGATTGGGGTGGGAGGATCTGACAGAGACCCTTTCTTTTCATCCAGGAGGAAGTAGGTGGGATACAGCTGGGTCCAGTCTCTATTCTTCAGGTTGCCGTGCCCTGGAGGGACCCTCCCACCCCTGCAGGAGGGAATCCCAGGAAAGACCACAGGCAGCTGTGTTGATGCTGCTGAGAATGAGGGGTCATGACCTGGATGGAGGTTTGTTTGAAAACCTGCATAAACATCTTGTATCAGAAGGAGCATGCATGCTCCTTAGCCAAACAAATTTGCAAGGAGATAAGCCCATTTGTTAAGTCTGAGTTGGGCCAATAACCTTGCCCTGTGCCCCTAAGGAAGATCAATGTCTGTCCCTACAGGGGAGAAGGCCATTTGTGTTACTCCTCTTGGTCTTGCCTGGACCAAGCACCCTGTGCTCCCTAGAGGCCCATCCTGCCATCCTCAAGCAAAGCTCAGCTGTTTATGGGCTCAGACCCCAGCCCTCACCACATCCGTCCACATCCCCTGCTCTGAGCCAAGGAGAAGGTGACCCTTGACACCCCCTGGTCTGGAGTCAGAACTTCAAACGGTCTGTAATGGCAGGGAGAAGGGAATGGAAACAGTGAGGGTTCAGCTTGGTAAGGGCTTTCAAGTATAGCCACCCTTGCTGTGGGTAATGGCTGCTTAACCCTCCTGCCTGGACCAGATTCTCAGTTAACTAAGAATGTTGCCGCTTGCCACAATCCACTTCCATCTGGCAAGACCTTGGCCGTACCTCCAAAGAACATCCAGGTCCTAATTAATCTACCAAACCCACCTGTGCGAACACCCGCTGCAGTCCTAGTACTTAGAGTGAAGATGCTTACATCCTCAGTGTATCCCTGTAGATCTTCCCTGTCCCATCCTGGCGCCATTTCCCTGAGTGGGTCCTCTTAGCTTTCTCCTCTGTTCCTGCCACACTGGCCTCAAACATTTAGCATGGCTTCTTCTTGGTCTAGACTTTCTTCACAGAGACTTGTTAGCCCCCATACTCATCCCCACCTCAATCCCTGGTCTGTTTGTTTCTAGTCTATTGAGACCTTCTCCCCAGAGCCACTCCAATTACTCTGGTACATACCCCCAGCCTTGCCATCCTGGTCCCTCCACACTTCATATTCTGCAGCTGCTCAGAGCCATACCCATAGCTCTCTGGGCTTTTTCTATCTGGTCCTGTTATCTAGAAAGCATCAAGGCAGAGCTGCTTTTTCCATTCACTGATGTATTCCCCGCGCTCAGAGAGGAGAGTGGCATGAAATGCACAGTGAATGGTTGTTGAATACATGAATGAATGGAAGCATAAAGAGACAATAGCAGCAACACTGAAGGTAGAAGGGAAGCAGGACATTAGGGGTGGGGTGCACAAGGCTAGGACCAGTAGCATTGTGTCCATCTGGGCATCCATGTCCAAATGTCCTCTGTTTTTTTGCTACGTCATCAGGACTGAACCCATCACTGGTGTGTAGAGCCCAGGAGGAATGTCCATACCTCCTGTAGGAAGGAAAAGTGTGTGTCCTTCTAGGAAAGAGGATCCCTATGGGACCCATTGTCTCTCGAGAGTTTATTTTTCGTGGGATGAATCTAAGCATCTCAAGTGTACGTGTAACTGAAGGAGGAAAAAAAAAGATGGCATTGAAATTCCTGAAGACACTTTATAATGGTGTAGGGGCAATTATACATAGCAAACGCTGTCAACATTTAAACTCTAATTTAAACATTTAATTCTTCAGAATTAATACACACAGGTGCTATCATGGGGTGGGAGAGGCATGCAGCCTCCATTGGGATCTGAGTCTTGACAATGTTACTTACAACTTATATTACATCCATTTTATTTACTGGTCCAGGCAGCCGGAGCATGGAAAGATATACAGCGTGGAGTAAACACATTCATCCTGGGTGAGGAGCTCTGGCAGGAGACACCGCTTTACAACATTAAAAATGTATAAAGTATTTAGCAAAAGTTACAGAAAACAGACCAAACGAGCAAGTTTATTTTGTTAGAAAATTCCACTTTCATGGGGTTCGCTGATGTACTCAGGTTGCAAGGGAATGCTTCTGAACATCTCTTTCCCCAGGGAAGGGAAGACGTACAGAGTTGGGCCTTCACCCAGGTTGGCTGGTGTCCCTTAGAATGTTGGTGCCTGGGTCCAAGAACCTGTCTGTTGAGGAAGCTGCGGGAAGGGACAGGTGAGCACATAGAAGTCCTGACAGGGTGTGACCTTAGGATGCAGGACAGACTGGGAACAGGGCAGGGCCCGTCTCAGCTCTTCCTTTCTGCCTTGGTGCCATACTGTGGCTCTGGCCCTTCGAACTCTACCAGCACAGCCCCATTAGAAACTCTCCTTAAACACAAAGGGCCCACATCCCTCTTATCACCCAGAAAAGGTCTAAAGGCCATCCATACTCCCAACCCAAGTCTCCATAGTTCAGTCCCCGAAAGCTACACTCAACACTAGAAGATCAGGGCAGGGGAGCCTTGATCTTGGGCTCCCAATAGAGCCTGCCCCTTGAGAAGCAGGTCCTTCACCTCAGAAATGGTTAACCAGCAGTTGAGGGGTTAGAAAAGCCCCCTCCACCTCAGGGGAATAGCAGCTTTGCCTCCTATCTTGAGACCCTTGTGTTCTGAGTCCCCAGATCTGGCTCTCACCTGAACCTAGGAACATTTCCGTCTACCTGGAGCTTCCCAAGAGCCTTCTATAGGCTCCACCTTTCACTCAGCAGCACCTGACCAAGACAGCTTAGAGGACTAGGTCCCAGAGGGCTCCACCCTCAGCCTGGCCTGGCCTCCACTGAACTTGGTCTTACCTCTGCCACTATCGCACAGGTATAGGTTCAAGCTAGTCTCAGGATGACTGCTGGCAAATCAAACTACAGTGAGCAAGAAGGGCTTGATCAGCTGACTCTGTGTTTATGGCTGTCCTCACTCCTGGGACAGACCCAGAAGCGGCTGGTACTGACTTACAGTTCCTTCAGGGATTCTGAGAGGAACTAAGTAATTCTCTCAGTTTGTGACATGAATTAATTCCATTTGGATCTACCTAGAAAAGTGCCCATCGTGAGGATTTCTGGCCACAGCTGTGGAGACGACTCAGCTTATGTATGACCACGTGCATAGGGTGCAAATAGGCAATGGGGGGGAAGACACAGGAGGTGAAAGACTCATAGGCCTTTTAGAACAAGCACCCTCAAATGACAGATGGTAAAACAGATTTGGGGAAGGGTCAAGCTATACCCAAGGGTCAATGTTCAATAAAATACAAAGCCACCGAGGACTGAGGTGACAGCCCCCTGAGGGAGAGGGTCTTCTTGTACTGAGAGATTTACTGCTGCAGCAACGGAGAGTGACAGTCTGTTGCTGCCCCTTCCTGTTTTCTTCATTAACCCAAAACTAGAATCACCAACTGGAAGGAACAGCTGGTGTCTGGGTGGGAGACCCAGTAACACGGGTAGCAGTGGGTTGGAAGCAGTTATACAAACAAACTGGAGATCTGGGACTATGACTTCCAGGGCATAAAAAACTCATTTTAAAACTAAGGAAATCTGGGGCCTATCCATATGATAGACTACTAGTCAGCAGAGAAAGGGGACCTTCTACTGACACACATGACATCATGGCTGACCCAGAAGGTTGTATCAGTGTGACTCCATTTACATGGCATTGTAGAAAAAGGTAAAATTATGGGGATAGAACATTGAACTGGTTGCTAGATCAGGGGTGGGAAAAGGGGAATTGACATGGTGGCATACCCAACTTGGTTGTGGTTGAAAAGATCTGTTTGTAGAACTGCATTCCTTGAAAGGGTGATTTGTACTATATTTTAATCATTCCTCAATCACCTTGAAAAGGGAGGTGGAGAGATGCTTTGTGGCATGGTAACAACTCTGGCAATGAGGGGGTCTCCAGGCTAGACCATCAGGCGGCTGACCCGCTCCCCTACTTTATATCTGTAAAATGCCTTTCTTAGCTTCCTAGTAATAGCAGGTTTTCAGACTCCTGTTTAAATTCTTCTTGTCAAGTCTACTCACAGACGGGAGCAAACCACCAAACAAGCCAAGGTCTTTTGACACCTTTTGAATTTTATGGCTTGTATTTCCATGAAGGGGCTTTGGCTTAGCCAAGATTCTCTCGCACCCATCTACTACCCTGATAATTGGCTGGATTTCACAGAGGGAATATACACAAACCCCTGTCACAAATTTGTATACTTTGCTTCAGCTATTAATCAACCATTGCAGAAATCCTTCTGAGTCAACAGGGTCTTGTGTGGAGGTAGAAAGGTGGCCCCCATAGCAGAGACAGCCCAGGACTGCCAGCCACATCTTTCAAATGGCCTGTACACTGTGGGACTGTTCAAAAGTACTAGAAAATAATGAAGGGAAACAAGTATCTCTTCCTGGAGGTTGTCATGGCAACTAACCCATTTTTTTTGAACATCATTCATTTTAGAGAATTTTTTTTTAAATCAGGGTTTTTCAGACAAAGCTTAAGTGCCTTGGCACTCCTAGGTGGGGGCAGGTAGAAAGGGCTGTTGCTGCTCTTAGCCTGGACAATGGATGCTCGCCCACTCTTAATAAACCCAGCCAGATCCTCTCAGACTGACGTGTTCATAAAAGCAAGGTAGCTGACCTGGGTGTAGCTAAGTGGTAAAACACTGGTCTAAACACGTGACTCTTGGTTGGGTCCCCAGCACCACACAGAGACTAAAGACCACCACAGCAGCTTGAACACTCAGCTCAGTAAGTACTTTCAGGTTCTTGCTCTTCATCACCTTCTTGATTTCATTCACTGGGTGCTATGAGGGTAGCTGGACACTTGCTCTGTCATGATCATAGTTCTGGGTATCATTTCCAGGCACCCACCTCCTCCATGTTCTTACTCTCCCTGTTTGTAGTATAAGGAGACAAAATACTGGAAACCAGTTGAAGCCATTTCAGAACTTGAAGCTGCGTGTGAGCCGAGAATTTGGTAGTAAGGAGACTCAGATCTCACTGCTGTGTCGAGATCTCTTAGCATAGTTAATACTTCAACAATCTCAGTGGGTAGGATGGAAAATGCATTGTTCCTTCTGTCCAGAAGCATCAGAACACACCTGTCTACCTGGGGATGGAGCAAGTTGAAGGGCACCCTCCTAGACACAAGGCTAGTTCCAGCACTCAGCACCCAGTTTCTAGCGTTCACTGAGAAAATGAGTGTGCAAATGAACAGATATATGTTAACCAGCGTACAGCCAGGACCACTGAGACCTCAAATGCACATAAACCAGATGCACATGAACCAGCATATAGCTGGTACTACTGAGAACTCAAATGGGCAGAGTATCCGAGAGGAGTGCTAAGTCTATCTCACTAAGAGGCAAAGAGTCTACACAGGACATTTAAGGGTTTCTTCGAAAGACAGAGCTGTAGCCTGTTTTCAGATGAAAGATTACAGATTGCTTGCCTCTAACAAAACTCTTCATGAATGAACAATGGAAGGAAGGGGATAAAAGAAGGGAAAGGTATGTATGGCTAGATTAAAAAGGAAGTAAGGTGACAACAAAAAGAGAATGGCCTCAGACAGAATTGACTCACATCAGCCAACTGCTGTTATGCTGGGGGAAGTGGCATCTTAGGGAATTCTGAACCTTTTGGGTGGGAGTGTGTGAAGGAACAAAGTTGTGAGCCACATTGTGATACCCAAAATCCCTGTGCATGACAAGACTTAGAATTTGACCGTCTCTCACAAATTAGGTTGCTAAGCCACAAAGCAAATTACCACTAGCACCCATTTTTTTTTGTTTTTAATAAGGAAACCAAGAAATGATGTCCTAATATCAGAGGCTGGTGTCACGCTCCATGCTGAGCACAAGTTGGTAAAATGTCCTCATGCTGGCCTTTATGGTGGAGATGTTTCAGTAAGAAAAAGTGACAGTGCTTAGTTTGCTTTAGTGTATTAGGCATCTTGCCAACAACCATGAGCGATGGTTCTGTGGACGGGCTGCCAAAAGGTCCAAGATTAGTAAGCTATCTGCAATGAGCATGTGAGATGGATAGATGTGAGTGGTGCTCAGAGGACTCTGCCCTTTGAGAAGATAGACAGGTCAAATACAAAGTCATCTGTGGGAAGGATGAGGAAAAATGCCCCACAACCCCCGGCGGAAGTTCCCAGCTAGAATTTGCCCTGCCCCCACTCACTGTGTGACTCCCCAAAGTCTCTTGGCTTCCTGGGTGGCAACCATCTACAATCATGAGAATCTGCACCACTGACCAATGGCAGTAAGGGGGACAGCAGTTCCTACCTCGTTGGGCACACCCACAGCTGGAGTCATTCTAGAGAATAACCAAACCTGACTCTTACCACTGCTGTTGCACATGGTCTGTAGTCAGCATGGCAGAGTGCTGGTCAAGGCTGTCATAGTGTTGAGGGGCGGGGCAGGGCATGTGGCAAACAAGATTTTATGAGACTTCACCCGCAAAGCCTTTGAACATGCATACAGCCGTCTGAGGACTTGGGATAACATCCTCTATTGAGTCTGGAAAGGGCTATCAGGGTGAGGTGGGGGAATCTCCTCCTTGAGAAAGAGGTTGAGGAAAGGGTAGATTGAGACTTTGTGGTAGACTTTAGAGCCAATGCCTGATCTGAATCTAAAATTCACATCTCAAATGCCAGATCTGGAATCTGAGACTGACGGGAGCCATGATCTGTTTGTGCCAACTGAGGTAGTTCCATTTTGACCTCTCCAGATTTGGGTTGGGAAGAAACCCCACCCCTCTTGTGGGCTCCCAGAATGCAAAGGGGGGAGTAGGGAGGACTGAAAAAGGTCATGGGTGCGGGATGTGAACTTCACTTTGCTTCCTGTCCTTGATTCTGATCCTGACATTGTTTGGAGACAGAGACACCCCCCTTCCTCTACCATAGTCCTGGAGATTACAATCCCACTAGAGGATAGGCCTTGGATACATGGGGCACAGGTGTGCGATGGTCACCCCTGTGGAACTCAGCAGGGACCCCAGGGTTCTAGCCTCAGTTGGTTCTCAGAGTGACAAGCACAGCATGGGAGTTAGAGGGAAGCCTTCAGTCTTCGAGGTGAAATCAGGGCTGTGGGTCCATCATTATGGGCTGGGAATATTGGGGAGCCCCTGCTGGGCCCTCCTTCTGGAATCAGTGACTCTTTTCCTCCTCAGTGGATAGGTTAGCAGGTAATAGGGCAGATACAGCCCCTCCTCCATGGGACCCCAGCCCCTCTCCTCAGCAGGACCCCCGGGACCATACAGTCATTTCTAGATCTCCATGTCCACTGGGCGGATGTTGCCTGTCTTGTGCTCTCTGACCCATAGCTCTCTGTCTTTGGCTGGGTCCACTTTCCGCAGCAGTTGGTCCACTGGCTCGACTGTCTGCAAGGGGACACAGAGGAAGAGTCACTGTCAGATGTGGCCGCTAAACTGCATGTCTCTTGTGTCCCATGCTGCTGCAGTTGGAAAGCCACCTCAAATTATCCTTTCTAGAAGGTTCCAGGGCTCCATGGAGTTGGTATGAGAGTGAGGGTGTGCAGAGTGCTGTGAGAGGCAGAGCTAGTCTGCAGACCCCAGGCCTGGAGAAGAGGGCTGGCTGTCCTAAAGATGACCCCTTCCTCCATCTGTCTTCCATGGGCAAATAGAACTGCCCTTGGGTACCCATCCTCACTTTAGAAGTTGTGGATTTGATTTGTTTTCTAAAGCAAATTCACACGGGAGACAGATGTATGTATTTAGTTATCTTAACCATTGCAGAGCAGGAAGAAAACATATAACTGTGATCCCAGTCCTGGGGAAACTGAGGCAGGAAGATCACACGTTCAAGGCCTAGCCACATCCGATCTAAAAACAGACGAAGCCAATGCAGCTTCTCCCTGCCCCATGCCCCATCCTTGGTTGTAGCCCCCAGGAGGACCAGGCCTAGGAATGGATCTTATGGACCTCTGGGATAGCATGCCAAGTCTGTCCTGCTAGCCTTGGTGGAAAGGTAGGGAACTCACGCTTTGGTTGAACATGTCCGTCTCATGCCGCAGCTGTGTGTACTGGCACAGATGTTGTCGGATCATCTCCACCCTCTCCACCTCCAGCCGCTCCAGCTCCTGAGGTGGAAGGAAAGACCAGAGGCTCCTGAGCACATCCCTAACAGGGGGACCTCCCCAAGCAGGTGTCATACACAAGGCCCTGGCTGTGGATCCCAGCCCATCTGATTCTCTAGGCTCTGATGAAGAAGAAGTCAGTCTCTAGGGTGAAGATGAAGGTCATGGGTGTGGCCCTGCCAGCTCAGTGTGGAACTCTCTCCACAAGCAGAATATCTGATTATCCCCACTAGGACTCAGAGAGAGGTTCTACGATTGTCCCCATCAGCCCAAAGTGTCATGGAGCTATAGAAAGAGCAGCATTTAAGCTGCATCTGCGTGTCATGGAGCTATAGAAAGAGCAGCATTTAAGCTGCATCTGCGGTGGAGTGATGGGATGTGTGCTGGAGCTCTCAGCCTCTCAAGCACTCTGGCTTCTACACGTGCCCAGTGCTGAGGGACAATGAAGACTGGGCAGGGAGCAAAGCAGGCTGGGTATGAGGTAGCCACTGTCAAGGGGAATAGTGGAGAGGGCTGGTCGTTGGTGTCTAGCTGGTTCCGTGACTTTAGAGGATTAAGCTGTTATTCTGTGGGTAACTAGGTCACTGCCAGGTGATTAACCTGAAAGGGAGGTAAAGAAGGGGGCTTAATTAGAAGATTAACAGAGGAGAGGAAAACCAGGGCACTGGCCATGAAGGAGTCTGCTAATCTTCCTAGGTGGGCTAGCATCTGGACAGGGTAGCTGGTTAGGGGACATGCAGGTTATCTTGGACACTGGGATGATAAGGTAAACAATGGGCATGATGCTGTCCCTGTCTCTCACATGGTCCAAGTGCCTACTGCTCTGCTCAGGCACTTTCTGGTCAACAAGGAGAGATGACGGATCCTTAATAAAGAACATACAGGATCGCATGCTGGGTCTGCCACCATGGTCTTCCATTACAGCCTCTCTGCAGCTCCCCAGCTGCCTCACTCAGGTGTCTCATAAGGACCCCCTTTATCAAGGACCTAAGTGTGGTGTGTGTGTGTGTGTGTGTGTGTTGGGGATAGACTATCAGCTTTCCAATGCTTCTCAGTTTATCCCAGTAGGGCCATGGTTCTGAGATGAGGAAATCCCTGGTGCACTCTGACCTCTCAGTGCTCAGACAAAGGAGAATAGAGTAAGACCTGGCCCTTGCTGAGTTCACAGGGCAAGGCAAGCTAGAGCAGGAACTTGAATTTATTAGCGTGTACAGACTGAGGTCTGGACCCCAATGTTGGGACGGCTCTAGTGACCATCTCTGCTGTTACCTCACCCCATCCTCCCATGACCACTGTCCCCTGCCTAGAGCTGCTTGTGTGTTAGCTCCCTTACCACATGCATACACTTCTCTGATCACATACCAGTGTGGTCGTCACCATCTCTTCAAACCACTTGGACTGGGCTTGGTTGTAGAGGTCCACACAGCGCATGAGATCATCTCCTGGGAAAAGCCAAAAGCCACCATCATGCCCGGTTACATGCCACCCTGTCTCCACTATGGCTGCCCTTTTCTGTCTGTGCCCATGGTTATAGCTGTTCCTCTCACACTGGTCATTGTAAAGTCAGGGTATGAAGGGGAGGAGAAGAGAAAGAAATAGATGAAAGAGGCAAGTCACAGAAGACAAGCCTCGGTGTGCCTATCTGAACTCCATTGAAGGCCCCAAGAATGTAGGCAGGGGGTTTCTCATCAAGAGACTACTCTGGGTACCATAGTATACATCTGTAATCTCAGTGCTTGGGAGCCTGAGGCATCAGGACTGTAAGTTCAAGGCCAGCCTGGGTAACTTAGGGATGTATCTAAGTGGTAAGAATGTCTGCCTGGTATATGCAAGACCCAGGTAGACTACCCAGTGCGTGTGTGAGCACACACACACACACACACACACACACACGAACCCCAGTGATAGGGATAGAAATGGGACAGCATTCTGAATCCAACCCAACAGCCTGGTGGTCACAGATCATTCACTGTACAGTACTGGTACAAAGCCAAGCACTAGAGGAGGGCAGACAAGTGGGAGCCTGGGGAAACTGAGTCAGGCTGAACCAGAGGGAAGTGTTCATGCAGCATTCTGTCCACAACATCAATCTGAACACACAACTACTACCACTCCACAGCTAATGTACTGCTTCCTGTAATGACATGTGTATCTCAAGTGTTTTTGAAATTAGAACAAAAACGAACTATGGGGTGACTATAAGGTATTATTAGTAAGGATGCTGGCACCTGGAGCCTTGCCACATAAAACACAGTTGGCACACTGATGGCATCAAGTGACCCTGGGAACTGGTGGCAGCTTCAGGACTTTAGGATGTGCCCTGGACCTGCTGAACCAGAAGCCAACTGTCCCCAGACCTGTGGCGAGGAACGTGTCAGTGGCGCCGACATGCAACTGTGCTGCCCTGTGTAAGTGTGGCTCTGTAGAGAGTGGGGCATCGCAGTCTCTGCTCGAGTTGGGAGAAGCTGGTGCGCCAACCCCCAGAGCCAAGTGACTCAGTCTAATCCAACCACAGGATATTCTAGGAATTCTCAGAATTGAATTTAGTCATTTAAACAGATTCAGAGTCATTCCTTTGACATAACTCTTACTCATGATGTGCCTTATGGTGGCAAAGTGGAGGAAAACAGGGAGACTTGTCTCTGTAACTCAAGACCACCTCAGAATTCTCACATCCTACCCTCACAGCTATAACACCTGTACCACAGGGGACAGCGTTCATCCCTGCCCAAGGCCAATGACTACCCCTTTGGTTCTAGGAGCATTAATCAAAGGGAAGAGCATAGATGCATCTCTATCCTCGAATCTCCACAGTGACCTCACCTGCTCCAGGATGAAGCCAGCATGCTGCCCTGTGTACATACACTGTGAGGCCCCTGGTACCCTGTATGTCCATCCTAATTTTGAGAACTTGTTTCAGGAATGTCTGCTGCACCTGAAAGTGGTGTAGGGGAAGGGTGTTTCTTTTCCAGGACAAGCCTGAGAAGTGGCGAGTGAACCCTTTCTCAAAGTGTCAGTTGAGAGAGAGGATTCTGGAACCAGAATGTCAGGGCTGCCAGCCTAGATCCACCCTATATGCTGCATGACTTTGGGTATGCCAACTAATCTGTCCTTGCCTCAGTTTCTTCTTCTGACAGGTATGACAGTTATAGCTTTAAAGAGTCATCATGGAATTATAAGTGCTTGGCATGGAGACACAGACTAGACAGCAAGAGACTCCTCATGGTGGGGACGGTGACTTGAAGTCAGAGCCCTGGAGGATCCAGACACCTTTCCTTCCAGTAGCATTGTGAGAGATGAGGGAGGGGAACAGAGAACCCTTAGCAGAAACCAGGCAAGTTAAACACATGCACGTACGCACGTACCACCTGCCTTTTTCTTCAAAGAACAAAAGTAAAAGACAAATGAAAACCATAGGAAAATATTTACAATTCAGATGACCAGGGTGAATCTCCCTAATGCCTACCCGAGCTGTGAATCAGTCACTAAGAATGAGATACAGCATTCAACAAAAAAATTGGGAAGAATTGGAGTTCCTCAGCTCATGGGGGAGGGGAGGTAAAAAAATCACGAGTGTATTTTCAGAATGCTCAACCGTCTTATAGAGAAGTACACAGCAATAGCAAAAACTATTATTCATTCTTTACCAGCACACCAGTGATTTCAAGTTTGATAATAGGCAATGCTGATAAGCATTCAAGGACGATGTATTCATAGGTGTGAGCCATGGAACCTTCTTTGGAAAGCAATTTGGAAATATCTGTCAAAATGAATCAAACCTTCTGACCCAGCATCTTCCTTCTCTCCATATGAGGATCTGGTCTTAACATTTGCAGGGAGTTACAGTTCCAATAACAAACTCAGTATCTCTGGTCCCAGGCAAACAGACTGAAACAATGGCAAGGCCCTAAAAATCTACCCGAGGAATGATGAAAGAAGTCTGCATACAATCGTTGGGGCTGCGGCTACAGCACAGCAGAAAAGCACTTGCCTCGTAGGTGTAAGGTCCTGCGTTCCCTCACCAGCGCCACCATAAAATATAGCAATAAAAATAAAGGTGTCTGATCTGCATGGATGGATGTAGAAAGTGGTTTAGAGGGGATGAGATGGGGTTATTTCTAAGACATATTAATCGAAAAAGAAGCTTGAAGATAGAGTGTCATATGATCTAGTTTATTTGAACTCAGAAAATTGCTTGGGGATTTCTAGTGAATAGCACTGCATGCTCGTGGGCACAGATGAAACCAGCTGCCATACACTGTTGCTGCAGTATAGCTCTGTTTTGTAATTTAATGAATTAATTTGAATACATGTCTTCCCTATTAGGATCCCCTTCCAACTTACAATAAACATGTCAGGAATTTATGAAAATGTTTCTGGACCCAGGATGTGTTACTATGGATTTAATGTTTGTCAATTTATTTCTACCCCACTTTACATGTTCTAAGGCGGCGACTTTGTTCTAGGATGATACAGATTGCAGCAGGTTCACCAGAGATTAAACGGAAGGATATCTAAAGATCTGCCAGCCCTCATTGTACAACACAAGTCTTAAATCCAGAGGTTGATGTGCTGCCCTTGTGTGGCGGAGTCTTGGCATATTTGAGAAAGTTGTTACATTTCTTGTCTCGAAGGGCCTTTTTCTTTCCTCCTTGTGTATCAGCTAAGTGTTACCACTAGGTGGCAGCAGAAACCTGCTCACAGGAACAATGTGGGCAAATTCTAAACTATGGATGCTTTTACTTTTAAAACCAGTGCTGGCCTCTGTAGTCAGAGCAAGAGTTCACTTCCACAGTATAACTAACTCCCTGGGGTGGTGGAGCATCTTGGATGGGTGTGCTTGGGGTTGAACTCTTCAGATAGGGATAGGGACCTGAGCTCTTGGTGCCTGGAGCAATCTGTCAACCTTCGGACCTAGATTGAGGGCTTAGGAGAACCCGAAGGCCATGGCAGGAAGCCCTCAGTGTGATCCTGACGTAGCTTGCCTACTTCCTGTCTCTTGAGATCTCTGGACATGGTGCATGGAGGAGACATGAGGAATACTTTAAGGGGGAAGATGGGAAATTACATGCAACCAGAAAGCTACCCCCTCCCTCTGCGCTGGGTGTAGTCAGGATAATGGGCTCACCAGCCTGAGTGGACTTCCTCCGTGCCTTCTTGATGTCCTCCTCGGTCTTGTTGCTCAGCTTGATCTCCAGCTGCTGGGTCTTCATCTCCAGGTCTTTCTGCCGCTCTGTGAGGGCTTTGCGGGCCTGGAGTGGGGAACAGCCCAGCCCAGAGAAACTGTTCATAAAGCTGCAGCCAGGCTTCAGGGTCCAGCCACCCACCTACCCGATCTCATCTCCTCTGCATATGTGGAGGTTGTTACGCTGGTGCTGCTGATGGCCACCCGGCATGGAGGAGCTAGAGGGATGGCACGGCATCTAGCTAGATTTTCCTTGTCTGCCCTCTTCCAGCCACATCTGCATGTGACCTGTCAGTCTCTGAGGTCATGTTGCATCCAGAGCATGTGCCTAAAACCACTGTCTCTGAGGCTGGAGAGATGGCTCAGCGGTTAAAGACACTGGTTTTCAGAGCTGACACAGAACTTGATTCCCAGCACTACTGTGGGGGCTCCGAATCATCATTCCAGTTCCGGAGGGTTCGGTGAACTCTTTTAATCTCAAAGGGCACCAGGCAAGTAGACAGTGCAGACATATTAGAGCGAAATGTGCATACATATAAAATAAATATAATAAATAAACCTAAAAAGCTAATAATAATAATAATAAAACAAACCACTGTCTTTCAAGGTTGGAAGGGACCACAAGGTCAACTGAGCTTCTCCCTGGCAGGGCTCAATAGGCTGTGAATACCAACTTACTTATCTCACAGCTTGAGCCCTTACTGTGCCTGCATCATCATCACCATTGTCATCTTCCTCCTCCTCCTCCTCTTCCTCCTCCTCTTCTTCCTCCTCCCCCTCCCCCTCTTCCCCTCCTTCCTCCCCCTCCCCCTCCTCTCTCCCTCTTCCTCCTCCTCCTCCTCCTCCTCCTCCTCCTCCTCCTCCTCCTCCTCCACTCACTCTTTGATAGAGATGTAGCCATGTTTTGAGTACCTGTTTTGGTTTGCCCCTCCTGTTCTATAGGGCACCAAATCAGGCCACCCTATCCCTCTAGAACTGACTACCTGCAGTCCTGCCTTCCAGGGTATGGGCACCCACAGAAGGTAATTCTTTGGGCATTTGGGAGGGGATATTCATTCAGGGAGCACCCGAAAGTGAGGCCCAGACTCAGTAGCCATGGCACATCTGATGAGCAGCTGTGGCACATCTGATGTGGTGTGCGGAAAGAGGGGGCACCTTGTCCTTTGTGCCCACTGCAGTTCCCATTTCACCTGTGGTGTCTCCCTGCTCCCACTTGCCCTTGGGAGAGTCATCCAAGTGTCCTGGGGTAGCAACTCCTGCCTGCCACATGGATGGATGGGGGTTCCTTGGACTCTCCCTACTACTCCAGCTTACAAAGGCAAAGTATACCTATCCTGTCCTAGAAGTTCCCAGCTGTCCACCAGCCGGGTCCCCTGGCCTCTCACCTTCTCCACTGAGGCATAGCGGCTGGCCAGCTGCTTACGGAGGTCAGCGATGTGGTGGTCACACTTTTTCATGTCCTTCTTGAAGTTCTCTCGGAAGTTCATCAGGGGTTTCTCCACCTCACTGTGGAGCTGTGGAGGAGGGCAGAGGGGGTACAGTCAGTGCCAAGGCACTAGCTGTGCTAATGTAGGAGATCTCCCACCTTCTGGTGAGCCAGACACTGATTGCTTTAGCCACTGATCTATTTCTCTAGCCCATATATTAAGGACTTCTTAAAACCAACATTTTTTTTCTTTAAAAACATTGGTGTGTGTGTGTGTGTCTGTCTGTCTGCGTGTGTGTCTGCATATGTGTGTGTGTGTGTGTGTGTTTTATTTTGAGATTCATTCTTTGCTCTGAAACCCTGGCACCATGCATGACATCAGTGATCTTTCCTCAAAGTGTTTCTGGGGATGAGTGGTCTGTCTGGCTCACACCAGAGGGTCTGGGCTACTGGAGCTTCTCTTCACATCTTCTGAAGAGAAAAAGAAAAATTCCAAATTGGAAATGATTCCTGTGACTATTTCCAAGTGGTGAATGACTACAGTTGTGAAATCAATTTAGTGGGTCAGGACCAGGTTTTTTGAGACAATAGACCCAACTTGGAAGGAAACATATTAGGGTCCATTTTAGACAGAATAAAAGTAGCGTGTCATGAAGCATCTGTTTTGGTTACATACACGTGTATCTCTGAGTGGGTATGGGGGCAGGCATGTACATGTGCTTGGTGACCATGTACGAATGTCTCTTATGGTCTCAGCTGAGCAAGGTTAAAGCCTGGTTGGAACACTTCATTCCACACATGAAGAAATAGAACTGTGGGGCCGACAAGTAACCCACCCCTGCTCACAAAGCCTGCTAGTGACAGGACTGGGTGCACACACTCGTTCTCTTGCCCACAGATCTGCCTGTGGACACACGCCCCTACTGCATGCTCAGGCTTCCTTTGATCAGCAGGAATGTGTCTATGTTCCCCTCTTTCACTGGGGCCAGTTCTAACTGCCTTCCAAAAGATCAAGCACCTTTCTTGTGATTTGCTGTTGCTATTAGCACCGGCTTGAGCTGGGAGACGGGGGAAGCTGGAGAGCCTGCTGCTGTATGCAATCCTGTTCCTTAAAAGGCTTTTTAGCCCCGACACTGAGCATTCAGATGGACTAGAATTTCAATAAACCTTTTTGGAGCTGACATAAAACAGGTTTTGTGCCTTGGGAATCATATTCTTCAAGGCTGACGAATCAATCCTCAGGATCCCCTTCCTCTTAAGAAATCACCGTGCCACCATTAGGAGGCTACTGGGGTAGTCTGCAGTTACCAACACACCCAAGCCAGAAGCTGTAGAAGTGCTGATGGCATAAGGCCTGCATTTGTGTGCTCTTTCTCCATGAGCTGTCCTTAGTGCTGGGGTCTGTGAGCCTGTGAACCCTGCTTAAAACCGCTCTAGTGTTTGGGAAATCGCCCTACACCCACCATTGGCATTCGCTGTGAGGGCGGAAGCTTCCTCAGCTAGGGTCTTTCCCTAGTGCTAGAGATGAACCCATTAGCCTCTTGCCTCTAGTTGGTGGCCTCTGCGTCTACCTCAGGCAGGAAAACCATCTCTGCTAGGAGCTGGGACAGGAGGAGGGAGGCCTTGGAGAGAAGCTTCTCATGAACCATGGCTTAAAAATAACCTGCTGCTTCATCTGCAGTGCTCAAAGTGGCAGTTCAGGGAGCTCCCTCCTCACAGGGGCTCCTGTGTGCTGGGGAAGGGCTTGGTTGTATGAGGGTGAGCATGCTCCTGTGAGCTGGGAAATGTCACTCCCCAAAGGGCCTGGGGGTGGGGTGGGGATGCCAGCTCTGTCTCCAGCATTCACACCCTTTGTAAGCCAGGAGCAGCACAATTCTCTGCAAAGCTCACCCACAGACTCAGCCCTTGAGTCAGTCATTCTACTGTGTATACCACACCATCGCAGAGTGAGGGCTAGGTAGAGTGGCATATTCCTGTCCTTCAAGAGTGCTCATGCGAGGGACCCTAATGACCCGATACGGTGGAATTGCAATGACACATGGGGACAGTATCACAAAGAGAGGGCTAGCTATCATGAAAGCTGTAGGAGGGAACAGTGCCTTGGAGGGATACTACCATCAAATGACAAAGTTGGTGAACATGGGGCCTCAGGATGTTCAGACACAAGAACATGTAGTACTCAGGGCTGCTGTGGTGTGTTGGCCAGTGGCAGGAGGTGAGAAGGAAGAGAGGGTCGGGTCAAGATGCTGGGTGACACCCCCAAAGGCCTCTCTTCCTTTAAAAGGAAGGCACATTGACGGGCAAACCTATCAGTCACACACACATTAGTGTGAGTTCTCACTGAGATGTTTAGTTTGGTTTTCGATTAGAAGGAGGTAAGAATCTTGAGAGGAAATACGGAGATCTAAGTGAAGAAGAGAAAAGAGGTTCATTTGGAAATCCCAAGGCAAAGCAGAGCCAAAAGACTGGGGACCGAGAGGAGATAGCCATAGGCTCTGTGTCAGTGGTTCTCAACCTTCCTAATGCTGTGGTCCTTTAATACAGTTCCTCGTATTGTGATGACCCCAACCATAACATTATTTTTGTTGCTACTTCATAACTGTAATTTGCTACTGTTATGAGTCAGAAGATGAATATCTGTTTTCTGATGGTTTTAGGTAACACTGTGAAAACGTTGTTCTGTCTCCAAAGGGGTTGTGACCGGGGGATTGAGAACTGCTGATTGGTTTACTTGTTTCTTCTGAACGTATCTAATAAGCATCCTACAAAGTGTTCAGTGTCCACTGTAGTGAACAGGTCTGGACTCAAAACTGTCTGGTCCTAGTGTCTTTGGAAGCAGATAAAAGGAGGGTACATTCAGAAATTCTGCAGCAACGAATCAGTTTTAAAATATCCTCCCCTGGCCACAGTCCAGTGCTCCCAGAGACAGAGCTGACTGCTGTGCCAATCTGTGAAACTGACAAAGAATCACCCCAGTGAACCAGGGGGTGTCCACTCTTACCACACAGACCCCAGGGCTGCCTCCCATGGCTCCTAAGAGCTTACTGTGAGCGGCTTGTTAAAATAGCTATGATTAAAGATGTTAAATAAACTCATATTATATTAACCATCAATTTTCAGAAACCTAGACTTGCATTTTTAAAAAGGGAATAATTTCTCAGCACCTACATTGTGTTTTTTCTCTGTGCTTTTGGGTCACATATCTGGTCATTTCTGACACTGTCTGTTCAGTGGAGACACTGTCTAATGGGGAGTGAGCTGTGGGCATCCCCTCTCAACTCTGCATTCATGGACTTGATACCATGGGAAATGGCAAGCAATACAAGCTAGAGAAAGCTGGTAACCAGGTATTGGCATGCCCTGGTCTAATCCTGGAGGGATGGGAGGGTTACCTTGGCAGAGAACTTGAGATGAACTTCAGCCTCATCTGCCAGGCTCTTCTTTACTTGGGCCCATGCCTCTCCCAGGGAGCTGCAACAGGAAGGAACCGTTAGACTTGGGAGGAGGCAGAGAAGAGAGCCCTGGCCCAAAGCTACAGCCTTCCCTAAGATGGGATCACGTTTCTCAGCTCCGTATCTTGGGGAGGCATAAAACATTGATGCCTTGACCATCACTATCCCCAGAGCCTTTCTACTATACACCCTGGTTTGCTGCTGAGGTGGCAAACATATGCTAGGAACTGAAGGAAGAAAATGAGATTTGTTTTCGAACGCCCCTCCCTAGCAGCCAGCTCTCAGGTCTCAGCCACTTGGCCTCCAGGAGAGGCACAGATGGTCCACTTGGGTCCAGGGACATCCCAGGTGCAGCCACACACTGAGAAGACTCTCCTAGCCATCTGCAGAGGCATGGCTTCTTTCTAGTAGATTCTGGATCACGTATCCCACTTACGCACAGTGTGTACTCTAAACTGTGCCATCTCTCTGCTCCGAAGAGAAGCTCTAAACAGAAGTCCTGGAGATTTCCAAAGCCCCCAAGATACAGAATTCATTATCTGGACCCTTAAGCCCCACGACCATTCTAAACAGGACCCCTGACTTCTTCTCCCAACCTCTCACACAGCCAGTTGACCTCATTTCATGGGAAAGCTGTTAGCCCCAGGGAAGTCATTAAACTTCAGTGGCAAAGTCTGCTTAGAAGACAGCCCGCTGGGGCAGAGCACCTGAGTGGCTGCTTCCAGGTTCCAAGCCAGCAGCTAGCAGATTGGCCCTCATGATCTACTTCTCTATCTGCCTGGTGGCAGTGCTAGCTTGGCCTTGGTGAATGTTCATGAGGAACTATCAAGCGGAATTTATGGAGTCTGGAAGAAGGAAGTGTGTTGTTGTGGTCCTATCAGAGAAAGACTAGGTGGATCTGGGGTGATGATGCTGTGGACACGTCTTTGCCTGTAAGGCCTGGGGTATGAGAAGCTGCGAGGAGAATGTTCCATTTTGCAGACCTGCATGGGCTAGGTTCCCCTACCTCACTTCACAGTGGAAGCTGCTGTGGCAGTTCCATGAGTCAGGTGATCTGAAGGTGTCCCTTCAGAGCACGTGCAGCAGACTTCATCCCTGACACAGCAGTATTAAGAGGTGGGACTCTTGAGAACATAACAAAATGCTCGGGGGGCCTTACACCAGCCATCTCTCCTTGCTGTTGACATGTGGTGGCTTCTCTCACATGCTAGGGCAGTGTGTAGGCACTCTCTAGATGCTACCCCTTGATCTTGAATGTCCTAGCCTTCAGAACCGTAAGAGATTTCTTCATAATTATCCACTTATAGCAGCACATAAGGGTCTCAAACTCAGAACCACACAGATAGAGCAGGGTGGTGAGCCTCGAGGGCATGTCTGTGTATTTCACTAGAGAACACAGCCTGGGACTTCTCGTATCATGCAAGCGTTTGACCACTGAGCTCTGTCTCTGGTCTTTAGGCAGCTGTTAGGAGACTTTATGGAGACAACATGGTAAAAAGGTACCCTGACCATCACCTTATGCCATGCATACAGGATTTCATTGCAGATCCTAGCTTGAACCTGACAGCTAATAAGCCACCACCCTTGCAGGGGTGAGGTGCTGCTGCTGTGGGAGCTGAGTGGCACACAGAAAGTCCTGGACATAGAGTCTGAAAAGGCCCTGAGAGGGGCGAAGACATACAGGGCTGTATGTTGGCTGCCAGCAGAGCACATAGGGTAACCGGCTAGGGCCAGGTCTGGCATCCTGAGAATGTTAGCTCAGGGATATTGGGGGCTGGGGAAGTGGCACCATTCACAGCCTGGACAGTGTCTTCAGTCCTACTTGCAGGGATAGCATGCCCCATGTGGAGGGCTGACACTCCTTACTACCAGATGGCCTCAGCCCTATGCCTACATCCCTCTCTCCTCAGCATTCTAAGGCACTTCAAATGCATGAAACTACCCCACTTGGCCCTGTCAGTATGTCCAAATGAATATGTGTTAATTAAAATCAAGCTTTAAATGTTTTGGGAGAAAGTCATTAGAAATTCTCATTCGAAGATGGCATCTAATGAGAAAGAGGTGCATGAAAAACTGTCAGGTGTACTCCTATCTCAGTGTATAGTCTGTGGCACGACAGATCAAAATGCAGGCTCCTGTCAGAACTGCCAGCCAAGAATGACCAACATTTCATGTTGGTCCTGCACATGAGAGGGCAGAAGGCAGGATGAGAACCTTGAAGGCTGCTGATTTGCCAGCATGCACAGGCCTTGTGACATGGAATCTGGACAGGGCATCTAAGTTGCAAGATAGCTCAAGTGTACCTAACTGCTTTGTGGTTTCCGAACCCTCACATCCCCACAAAGCCTTCAAGGTGCGCTGGTCCAGTCACCCAGAGCCGTGTTATAGGTGCAGGACCTAGCACTGTTATACTTTGTGCCTGCCGGCGGAGGAGTGATGGGGTGTGTGCATGGGATGTACCTGAGCTTGTGTGGTTGAGTGTGCTCATGTGTTGGGGTCTGGCATGAGGAGTCGGCTGCTTATCTTAGGAGCATATGCTGTGTGCTGGCAGGACAAAATGTCCCTGGCAGGAGCCCAAGCCAAGGGGGTGGGAGCCAGAAGACTCCAGAGTCATACAGCGATGCCAAGGACCCATAGGAAGCTACATTCCCTGGTGGCAGGGCTATTTCCGTGTGCTTCCTGCCTTGTCTCAGGCTCAGAAAGCAGTAGGAGAGGCCAGGAGACAGCTAACCATGTTCAGGTCTGAAGAGGGACGTAGGCCCTGATGGGTCTTCCTGTGGCTGATGGGGAGGAGGCGGCTTGGTTGCAGTCAGCGCATGCAAAGTCCTAATCAAAGCCATACTCAGTTGGCAAAAATCTCTGTCCCATTCGCTATCACAGCTCCCTCACAACTACAACCCCTGTGGTCACTTTTTCTTAAGCCCCGCCCCCAGAAGGGTGGGATGACAGAGGGGTCCTCTGAGGACTCTGTTGGTACTGACTTCTCAGGAACTTTGACTTTTCTTTCGAAGATGAAAAAAATCACACGTGATGATTCATCCAGTTTAAGGTGAGCAACACAAACGTGTTTACAGCATCCACAGTGTGGAACAGCCTATCCTTGATGACCCCAAACACTTCGTCACCCTGTTGTAAATAAAAGTTTGTGATTTCCTCCCCCTCCCCTTTAGCTTCCTGATTCATAGCTTGACACTCTGATCAAGGATGTGGGGATGGAGTAGTTAATGTTGGAGGACGGAGCCCTGATCCAATAGGATCATTGCCCCTGTAGGGCCTACTCCCTCACCCCAGCCCAGGTAGAGGGGATAGGTAAGTATACAGTGATTTTCAGCATCTGTGACCCCAGGGAGAACTCATGTCAGACACTGACCCTATTGGAACATTGACTTTAGACTTCCAGTCTCTAGAACTGAGATAAAATAAAAACTTTTTTCTGTTCTTTTTTTTTTTTTTGACAGGGATCTCACTGTGTAGCCCAGGCTAGCCCTTAATGAGTGATCTTCCCATCTCTGACCCTTTAGAGCTGGGATCGCAGATGGATGTGTACAACCATGCCCAGGCATATTCTTACAGTTTAAGCTACTCAGTCTGTGGTACTTTGTTATAGTGGCCGCAGCAGACGTATACACACCCAAAATGAAAAGATGTACCTACTAACTGTCACTCTTCATTTCCTTCTTTACCACTTACTGTGGGCTTTGTCTCTATGGCTTTGCTTATACCGGACATCTCATAGGAATGGGATGATATACTCTGTGATCCACTGTGGATGGTTTCTTTTACCTAACATCAGGCTTTCGACGTTCCTCCATAGAGTAGAGGGTCTCCATATTCCTTTCTATGGGTGAATGACGGTTGTGCATCCATGGGTATCCATTGTGAGTATACTACAATTTCTGCACCCAGTCGCCTCCTGATGGAATTTGGGTTGTTTCCACCTTGTAGTCTCTGTGACCACTGCTACTCTGAGCATGCTTGTTTGAGTCCCTGGTTTTGATTCATTTGAGGATAGATCTAGGAAGGAGTGGTGATGGATACTACTTTTTTGACTATGTCAAGCTATTTTCCACAGTGGCTGTCATTTGAGATCATGAGGGCCAGGGTTCCACAGACAGACAGCAGAGAAAGGCATCTATCCCTGAAGGAGTTCTCCCACTGAAGATCCTTCAAAGATCCTTGTGTGGCTGGGAGGGTTGAAAGTGTCCCCTAAGCCCCATTTGGACTGTCACACTAGGAGAGGGAGACGAGGCCTGGACTGGGTCTCTCAAAAGCACTCTTAGAGAGGTTGGATAGGAAATTCTCAGACTCAGTTTCCAACCAGCCTGACACCCAGAATAAAGAACAGAGCTGGGCACCCAGAGGCTGCTGTCCAGTGGCAGGGCACAGCGCAGAGGGTCTCTGCTGTGCTCCAGCACCTAGAAGACCCTGAGTCACTAAAAAATATGCAGAAGGGATAAAGCTAGAGTGTGAACACCCAGACATCAGGTCATGGGTGCTGCTTTGAACCATGAACATTAGTATTCTGGGGCATTTGTTTGTGATAGAGTCTTGCTATGTAGCTTATGCTGGCCTGAAATTCATAATCTCCCATTTCTCAGCCACCACAATGCTGAGATTACAGGGCAATGATCCATGAGTCTGAATCCTGAGCCATGAAAACCCACCTTGAGCTATGAGTGTCCACCTTGTTATTGGTCCACTGTCTGAGCCAGGAGAGTCTACCTCAAGTACTGAGGGCCTACCTTGGACTACGGATGACTAACAGGCACAGACCCCACAGTGAGCCAGGCCTACAGCAATCTCCCCATCCCAAGTGAGCAACTTTGCTGAGTAAGTAACGATCCTTCCTCTGTGTCCGCTCATCCTCCTCTCCCCTCCACTTTCCTCCCAACTCACCCTTCCTCCTGGGCAGCCAAGGAGTTCTGTGAGAGCTTAGCAAGGTTCTTTGCATATTCTTCTTCAATCTTTATCCTGCAAAGAGAGAAAACCCAGTGGTTCTCAGTGCTCTGCTGACTAAGGAGGAGCCAACAGTGACAGCTACTGGATAAAGGAATAGTTTGGATTCTCCTTCCCCCTTCTCCAGGCTCTGGGGATAGCAGATGTTATCAGCACCACTTCTAGCACCAGGTTGGACATGAGAGTCTTCCAGGAACAAGAGAAGCTTGTGACTGACTCCCAGGATGCCCAGCATGTCCCCAACCCTTCTATCCCTTAGTTTCAGGTTCACACACTTCCAGATGGCCCCAACTCACAGAAGCAAGAAGAGAAGATCTTCCTCCACTTTCCCACCCACAATACCTCCCTCCAATTGCCAAACATTGTTAAGGGTGCAAGTGTTTCCATGGTAACTAGGTAGTGTTTGGAGCAGTAGTCCCATTGGATTTCCCAGGAGGAGAAAACCCTCCACACACCTCCAAGGCAACTCTCTGGGGTACATTCTGTACAGCTAGGTACCTCTGTGTTAAGTGGGCCATCAAAAGCATGTTCATATCCTAAGAGGCTCTTGGGGTCATGGTGAGAAGCAGAGCTGGGCTATGACAGCCAGAGGTGGTTAGAAGGCCAAGCCTGAGACAGACCTCCTACACCTTCATTCAGTGAATGGAGAAGTCCCATTTGCTTCCCACTTGCTAGGGTGGTGAAACCCAAATAATGCAGAGGCCTGGGAAGTGACTATGCAGATCTGCTGAATGCTCTACATGACAGCTCACTTCTGACTGGAACCTGTCCGCAAGCTCCTGTGTTTCACACTGACCCATCTCCATCCTTTACCACTGTCTCTTCAGGTGCCTGTCTTTGCCTCTAGTCCCGATTACGTGGATAGCTACCCCACACCTTCATACCTACTGTGGCCAAGATCTCCAGAAAGCAGATCTCATCATGTCACAAGCCCAAGAGCACATGCCAGGAGAGGGAGGTGCACATACCATCTGCCTCCTGAGCCTCTGCTGTGAACCAGCCTGTACCATCTCCACATCCCACCCACTACCCTCAGCCCAGCAAACGCAAGGGCTGTGCTGGCCAGGTATACTCCCAGCCCTGCAGCCTGGCTCTCCTGCCTCTGACAACCTTCTCCTAGAGCTCCAAAGACGGGCCGAGAAAGGTTCCAGGGATTTGAATTCCCTCCACTGGATTCCAGAGATGATCACAGTGGTCTGTGATGGCAGAGACCATTCATTTGCCAACAGGACACTGTTATGGGTATAAACCATATGCATATTGAAGTTTCAGCTCCTATTGCTTCCTATTTGTCTGTTTTATGCTTCTGTTTTCTCACATCTGAACAAAGCAGCTTTCCAATTTCCTACTAGTTTAATGGGTCATAAAATAAAGATTTGATTATACAAATGGAAAATAGGCCTCCTAAGGAAAAACAGGCTTTAAAAATGCCAAAGCATTATTACCCGATTACTAGTGTTATAATGAAGAAATACTTTAAAATTATCTTTGTGGTTTGCAGTGAACATTTCCAAGAAGTCTTGGAAATTCTTGTTGGAAACTTGTGCACAAGTTTGTGAAAAAATCTGTTTCTGTGTGCACGGGTGTAGGTGTGTGTGGTATACAGATGTTTGGGTATGTGATGTGGATATGCAAGCGTACAAGTGTGTAGATGTGTGTACACGTATGCAGGTATGGAGGCACAGGCATGTGAGTGTTCAGGCACGTGGGTGTGTAAGAATAGGTACACAAGGCTGTGGTATGTAGAAACATACATGTGCAGGTGTGTGTGCATAGGGATATACAGATGCTTGGTGTATAGGTGTGAGATATGGGTATATAAGAATGTGTGAGTGTACAGGTATGAGGAGGGCATGCAGATATCCAGAAATATAGGTATACAGTCACATGGGGGTACATGTGCATGGGTGTGTAGATGTGTAGGCATACAGGCATACAGATGTGGGGTACAGATGTGGGGGTGCAGGTGTAAGGGTGTATGGGAGTCCAGATGCTCAGATGTACAGTTGTGTGGGGATATGATGCATGGCTGTGCAGGTACACAGATATTAAGGTGCAGATATGTGTGTGTACAGGTGCATTTCTGCATGGGTGTGCATGGGTGTGCAGGTGTGCAGTTATGCTGGGATATGAACTTAGGGAGAGAGAGGAGGAAGATGAAATGGGGACTTTTCTGCAGCTCTTCCTATTTTCCATAGGCTGAAACTGTTGGATCTTCATCTACAACCAAGTTCTACAGGCACAGGGCTATTAGAATCCCCAGAGGCAGGGATGAGGTGGGAGGATGGTTCTGTCTCCCTTAGCTGGGAAACAGTTCTAATTGTAAGAAGATGTGGAAGGCCAGGGGTGGGGTATGCTTTTAGTCTCATCACTCAGGAGGCAGAGCACGTCTATCTCTGAGTCTGGGACCAACCTGGTTTACATAGTGAGCTCCAGGTCAGCCATGGACACACAGTGAGACTTTGTCTCAAGAAAAAAAAAAAGACCTGGAAGGTCACATTCCTCTTCTTTATTGTGACAAGGGACAGTGATTCATATGAGGGTAAAGGAGCAAAGTAGTCAGGAGCAGTGGGGAGGAGTGGAGACCGGGGTGCAGTGGGGAGGAGTGGAGACCGGGGTGCAGTGGGGAGGAGTGGAGACTGGGGTGCAGTGGGGAGGAGTGGAGACTGGGGTGCAGTGGGGAGGAGTGGAGACTGGGGTGAATAGGACACATGTCCTGTCCATGGGGCTACTCAGCTCCAGCCAATTGTTGTATAGGGGCTATGAAGGCATCAAGAGATGCCAGGCTTCCAGGATTTAATGTAATACACACACACACACACACACACACACACACACACACACACAAATTTACATGCATATATTTGTTATATATGCATATATAAATTTTACATGTATATAGTTTGTATATACATTTTATAAATTTACATGTATATATTTGTTATATATATATACATATGCATCTTATAAATTTACATGTATATATTTGATATATATATCTACCATACACACACACACACACACTTATATATACATGTGGTCTCATGCAGCTCAGACAAGTCATAACCTGTTATACAATTGATAATGACCTTGAACTTCTTACCTTCTGCTTTCAACTTCCAAATTCTGGGATTATAGGCATGTAACACTGTACCTGGCTACCAATATTTTTGCATTTTGTTCAAACCTTTAGAAACACTATCCATCTCTATTCCACACATTTGCTAGCCACATCTCTCCCAGGGCTGAGCATGGCAAGTCATCTACTCCCTTGGGGTTTAGGGCTCAGGGTAGGGCCTGTGACTAGCTCCAGAGCTGCACGGGCCTCGGGCTCACCTTTCCCGGATGAACTCAGACATCTCCTTCTGCATCTGCTTGCCTTTCAGTTGCTTCTGCAGAAGCAGTTCAAACCCAGCCACTGTGCCATTGCCTTGGGGGTCCTTCTTATCCGCCTAAGACGAAGCAAAAGCCCAAATCATCAGGGGTTGAACAGTATCTCTAGGATCCCTTCCAGATAAGACCAGGCAGCTCTTGATGCTTGCAGATACTCTGCTCACTGTGAAGGGCTTCATGACCCCTCTTCCCTGTTCTGAGTACAGTGAAACTCTTTCCTCTGCAACACTGACCCATGAGCCTCTGAGCATGTCACTGACACCTCTCCCAACAGGGAGACCACCATCACACACACCCTACAGAGACTTCCTTATGGGCACTGAAGATGTGCGCCCTTCGTTCTGTTAATGCTGCATCTTGATGGAAAAGCAAGGAAATCACCCAAAAGAGCAAGCCCAAACATGCCTCTCTCTGGGATAAACAGGCTGAAGAACTCATTGGCTCAAAGGCGGACCAGCAAGAGCAGTGTGTTCCAGTGACTCTGCTAGTGAGAGGATGTTTCTAAGAGGAAAAGGCCTTGGTGATCATGAGAGGAAAACCACTAAGAAAGGGTGGACCAGTTGCTAGAACTCAGAATAAGATGAGAACTCTCGGGTGAGCACGGTGGCGTCATCCCAGCACCTGGAAGCAGGTGTTACGTTGGCCAGCTGTCTCAACATAACACCAAACAAGCAAAAAGGATGCAGGCTCTCAAATGTGGTCCCAGGATGCCACTGAGCAGCAGGCAGGATCGCATGCACTTTCTAGTCCTACAGGTTTCTCTGTCTCCTGTCTAGGATATGTCCTGGTCCTTAGAGCCCCAGAGATGACTATTGAGAACAGGGCTGCCTCTGTCTGACTCTGCTGCTGCCACCATTCTTCCTGGACAGCTCACTCACTGCTCACCCTCCATTCCCATTCCCATCTGCTACATGCACAGAGGAGGTTATACCCAATTTTTTCTTAAAACCCTCTCAATACCTCCCTCCTATAGACAGTACAAGATGTGACAGGTCTACAGAATCGCCCTGTCTCCTTATGCCTGAATGCACATCTCTCTCCAGGATCACCTCTCACGGCCCCCAAAACTTTCACCTCCTCTGTGTCCTCTTCAGTCCTCTATTTTGCAAGATGGAATGGCAGGTACCACTTTACTGCGGCAAGCAGGAACCTTAATGTACTTCCTAATGGGTGCATGATTTGGGAGAAAGAAAGCACCGTTGCCTAGTATTTAGCAAATGTATAAAGAGGGAAGATAATCTATTCTGTGCCATGCTGGATAGAGGTTTTATTTGTCGACTGTGTACCTTGGGGTCTTCCTAAAAGTTCCTTGTAGAGATTTAGTAGTTTTCCATAGATGGTCAAGGTGGCACAAACCCTCACCACTATGACTGCGGAAGTCAATTGTACCTGCTGACTTCAAACATGCAAATACCCAGGACTACTTCTGGCATTTTTGAGGTGTGAGACTTTGTATTTACGTTAAGGTAACATTTTAACAGCAGGAATATATACATATCTCAAGATTGACTGGGTCGTCATTTCTAAGTGTCCATAGAGTTTAGTGACACAAAGTGTATTGAGACTGAAGTGGTGGATCCTGCCACCCATCACCTGCAGAAACTTCTCATCTTTCAACAGGCATCTTTGTGCCCACTAAGCAATATACAACAGCTTGAGAGCGTGGACGCTAAGAGAGTCAGTTTATATATCCCGTCTGCACTCAACTTCCTCATGATTCCGTTGGAAAAACACCACGTGTGGAGGTAGAACACGAGCTCAAGGCCACTCACAGCAATGCTGAGAAGGCTCAGAGCTCACACTTCTTTACTAAAAGCAGTTCCAGTCTCCTGCCTCCACCAAACACTGAAGGGAATGGCTGTCTAGTTTCTTTGCATTCCATGTCACTGTGACTAGAAACCACACAGATTCCCTGGGACTGCTGGAATGATCTAGAAAAGGAAAGTCCTATCTGAGATGTGAAACTCAGCACTGTATCTTGAGGCTTCACTGAGAAAGGCCCTTCCTGCCCTTGCCCTTCTGGGTGTATGTTCCTGTTGGGGTCACAGTGAAGAGAACCCGAGGCAGCACCTACCCAAAAGTAGTCACAGTAGCTCCACTCGGTCGGCTTGAGCAGCTGTTGTTCAGGCATCGTGTCCGGGTGAGGGAATGTCACACAGTTGATCTGCAGGGTACAGAATGGGGAAAAGAATGCTGTCAGTGCAGGATCAACTGGACAGAGCACAGAGGAGGCCTTCCCCACAACCATTTTGATGGAATGTATGTGGCAATCTTCCCGAGCTCCAGCAGCCAGTGACTACTTCAAGTAAGAGGCAACAGGCCCTCCTTCACACCCATTCCAGGGGCTACAATGAGGGGAACCTCTTTTGTGGAAGTTTAGTAGGATCTATCACAGTTATGAACGCCTAGATCCTTTGACCCAGCAGCTATGCTTCTGAGAGACTAGGCAGCAGGTCTATCTGCCCATGTGTACAGGGACATGGGTGCCTGGTTTCCACCACACACTATCTATGGCAGTAGAGGACTGTCCCAGAAGGCTGGCACTTTCCAACAGGAGAGGCATTTGTAAATAAGAATGAGATGAGTCCGGAGTGGTGGCATCCCCTGAAATCCCAGAACCTGGGAAGGGGAGCCTGAGAAATTCAAGGCCATCCTCGGCTAGACAAAGCTCCTGCATGATACACAAAAGACACCTGTAGAGGTTGTATGGAAGGTACATGTATGCATATATTAACAGAGGCAGACATCAAACTGTTTAGGAAAACATGGCACCTATTGGGAGGTAGAGGGAGGAGAAAGAGCATCAGAAAGCACAGGAAGAAGCATTGCTTCACCCAGCCAAGTCTGAGGTACTTCCTAGCTGTCCAGCTTTGTGGGCATGGCTTTGCTGCTGCTCTGGCTGCTGTGGCTTCAACTCCCCAGCCCCACCCCAAGGCATCCTCCCTTCAACCTCTCCCCACAGACCAGGCATCTGCCAAGGTGCTAAAAGGAAGAGCCAAGGAGGAACTCCCAGGGGCTGAGGGGTTGCTCTCAAGCTCTGACCTAGGAGGGACATGCAAACAGCCAGTACCTACCCCTGTGACACAGAATCTTCAACTTAAATGGGAGGGAAACAGCATGGGCCTTGGCTAGGGTCTATAGCTGTGGACACATATCTCACAGGCAGATTCAGATCCCTATTCCGTGTCACCAGACTCTGAGCTCAGGGTTTGTGTGCCAACCATCTTGAGTTTTGAGTGATGACAATTCAGTGTTAAAAGCAAAACTAGACAAACACTCCTCCCACAAACCCACCATCACCAACAACCAAGCAAAACCAAAATACTATGTACAACCAGCAGACCCCTATGTCAGCTGAATCACACCCAGGGGCTCTGACTTAAGGGCAGGAGAACATCTGGCAGCAAACTGCCCTGCCTGCCAACTTCCAGGGACAGCTGCTCCCCTCACAGGCCTGAGTGAAGAGACCCAGAAGTGCTAGCCAGTGGGGGAGGGGGGCTGGGGAGAGGCCTGCTCCTGGACGCTAACATTGGTGAGATAAGGTGGGGCTCCTTTGGGGAGAAGTATGAGGACATGGTGGGAAGCTGGCAAGATTGTTACAGTGCCCTGGAGATCAATACTTAATTCTGCCAGTCAGTTCAATGTGGAGTCCCAGCCTCAGCTGCTGCTAGGGTCTGAGTTGGAGTCGGGTAGAACAGGCAGGAACTCATATATTGCATCAGGAAAGGGTATCTTCAAGGTCTTGATTTAGGCTGAAGCCTGCCTCTGCTTGTGGTGTCCTGCCCCAACTGCCGTCCATGAGCGAGTGCTGCTAGGAGCCATCTTGAAAACAGGGTATGAAGTTTAAGCCTTCAACTATTTCTCTGTTCTGCCATATTGGTGATGGCAATTTCATCTTAATTTAGCTTCATGACAGTTTTAATGTAATTTAATGAGACAAGAATCCTAACAGTAAAGTGGTCAGGCTCTAAGAGTCACAGGACCAGGGCTAGGGAGGTGTCTCAGTGGGTAAGTGTTGAGGTGTAGTCTGTTGCTATGTATTGTAATGCTAAAGTCTGTACCAGAAGGGAAGGTCTAGGCCTTTACCTCAACAAGCTTTTGTTGTGCAAAATTTGTTCCTTGATTTAAAACTGTTGGTTAAATAAAATTGGCTACAGACAATGACTGGAGGGATTAGAGGTGATTGAGTTTTGAGTTACCTGGTTAGAGGTAGAAAAAAGAGAGGAGTGAGGAGAGATGGGGAGAGATGGAGGCAGGGAGAGGAGCCCAAAAAGATGTGAGAGGGATGCATGGTACCTGAGCACAGGTAACCAGATATGTGGCAGAATGTAAGTTAAAACAAATGGGTTATCTTTAGTTATGATCTAGTCAGAGAAGAGCCTAGATATATGACCAAGGTATTTGCAAATATAATTTTAGTCTGAGTCTTATTTCTGGGAGCATGGGGCTGGGAGGCAGAACCGGGGCCTAACTTTAACAGGTAGGAGCACTTTGCTGTGCATACATGAGGATCTGAGTTCAAATCCCTAGAGCCCCAATGCAAAGTTAGATATGGTTGCATGGGGCTCAGAGATAGGAGGATTGCTGGGAGCTGCCAGCCTTGCTCCAGGGTTAGTGAGAGACTAACTATCTCGAAGAAACCAGGCAGAGAGTGATAGAGAAAAGAAGTGTCTTCCTCTGATCTCCACATTCATTCAAGTGTGCACACACAACTGTGAACACACACAACCACATGTAAATGACTGACTGACTAACAGAACCCAGAGATTTAAGATGCTATTGCCCTTCAGTATCTGGAGGTGGAGGGGTAGGCACTGGTTTCAGGCCTTACATGGATGGCAAAATTTATAGTTGCTAAGGCTCTCTTATGTAAAATAGTACAGTATTTGCATATTACAAATACACACCCTCCAGCCATCTCTAGACTTATAATATTTAATTCGAGATCAAGAGTTGTATAGTACAGTTCAGTACAGACATAATTTTCAACACACAGTTGGTAGAATCCTCAGCTGGCTGAATTCACAGGTGTGGACCTGCATGTAGAGGCCACGGCACTCAAAGGCAGGCATGACGGATTTCTAAGGAGCCTCATGTTCTACCCCTGACCCTCTTCCTTAGTCTTCATCCAAACTGTCCTTTGCCTTGGCTGTAAGGAAGAAGTCTATCACAAGTGACTTAGCCAGTGGTGGATCAGGGCAAGGGAAAACCAGATTGTGTTCAGCCATATCCAGCATCCTTCATGAGAGGACCCACATCCAGTAAAAGAATGGTATTGTCTACTGCAGGATGTTCATGAAGAGAAAATAGACTCCATCAGTCCAAAGGGGAGAGAGTAACAGGAGTCTCTTAGACTGACCACAGAACATCTACAGGGTAGGGCTAGGACTTGATTATGTCTCATTTGACCCTTCCTTTGTGCTAGAGCCATGATGTACTGTGCCTCTGAGTCACCTGGGAGGGGTCTTAAAACAGATGGATGGGTCCTAGCCTGAGTGTGTGATTAGAGGCTCTGGGTGAGGACTGGGTCCTCAGGTGACTACTGGTGAGAAGCAGCATTTCCAAGCCAGGCTACAGGGGAGGAACGATACCCAAGGACGGCCTGTACCTACCTGTGGAAGACAGAAGAGTGAGCAAGTCCCAGGGTCCTGCTCTTTATGTCTCAAAGACTTCTCGAGAGATGCCTATGGCAGGGACTAGAAGGTTTGGGGGTCTAGAATGTGAAGGCCCCTTGTATGGCTTTGAAAGAGCCATGGAAAGATGGGAGCAGGGCAGGAGTGAGGGTGGGAAGTGGGAGTAGCTCCAACTCTTGATGCCTCTGCACCTCTCGGGATGCCCTGGTCGGAGCTCTGAGGTACAGGTCACTGTCTCTGTCACTTGGTTTCCGGTTAGCCCAAAGGGACTTCCCAGAGTCTTTGGAGCCCTTCTCCCCCTGGTGGTCATGTAGAGAAGTGCATAACACTGAGGAAGTCAGATCACAGTGTTTAAATTCAGGACAAGCTGGCGGCAGAGCTAAATGTTTGCCAGACAGCCCCTCGATGGCATGTTCTACCCTGGGTTTTCCTACTATGCTGTGTCTCCCAAGCACCCTGCACATGTATGTCTGTTGCTACTTCTGATGGCTTCTTCACACGCTCTTCCTTTCCAACAGCCCGTCTACAGGGGCAGGCAGAGACCATGCTTCCCCAGGATTTTCCTAGCTTCTGGCACAGCTGGCAAACAGTGGATAGCCAACAAATCATCATTATTGCAATGACTGGGTACTAGGTCTGAAGTACCGCATCTGCTCTCAAGAGCTTGATAATTAAGGGATGATGGTTCTTGGGATAAACCTCTCATTAGGGTATACATGGGATGCTGAGGCCACAGGAAGGGGTGGGGACGCTGGGATCACTCGTAGATCAAATAGTACTTGAGGAGACAGACAAGCTAGGAAGAGGTAAGGGTGTCTCAGAAAGGAAAGGGGCCTGTGCCTCCATGTGCATGTTTATGGGCACATGTGTGTGTTTATGTGTGTGCAAATGTGAGTACTTCAGTGTGTGTGTATTCACACACATGCATGCTGAGTTTGGCTCAAAAGCAAGAGGGGCTGTGCTGAGGCACTTAAGCACAAAGTGTTTTCTGCAGGAATGCCCAGCCTCACGTGGTGGAGATGACACAGGATGGAGAGGTGGAGGACTACGATGGTGGGAAAGCCTCAGGACTGCCCTCGACCACAAATGTCAACAGTGGCAAGTCTGAGAGTGTGAGGAGCCAGGCCTGACTGAAGATGTGTCCCCATGCTGGGGCATGGGGGAGGGGAGATGAATGGATCCGGAGAGAAAGTCCAAAGCAGTGGAAGGTACCAGGAGGGCAGCGAAATGAAATCACACCCAGGAAGCAATCAGGGCAGAAATGTCCATCTGTGACAGTGGTGCAGACATACACAGGGCAGGAAACTGAGGCACAAAGACTGACAGGCCACTGTCATGAGTGGTTCAAGAGGGTGCAGGGATGGCTTTCCAAGTCTATAGTCTTCATGCTGACCCGGCCCCTATGTGACTTTCAGGCCTCCTAGGCAGGCTCTTGTGTCCCCAAACCACAAGGCTCCATTAGCAGGACCATGGTGCTCTAGGAAGGAAGAGGACGTGGGACATGTCCTTCCCCATGGAAACCTCCATGGGTAGATTCCTTCCCCCTCCTTGTGATTTCCAGACAGCTTATAGGAATGTCCAGCTGTACCCCAGGGGGAAAGGTGTGTCTCCTCCAAAAGTCTCTTGGGAAAAATGAGGGTCTCACTCTCTCCTGTCCCTACACAGTAGACAGCCCAGGAGCTAATCATGCCCCAAGGGCTTGCCATGTATGAACTCACACAATCCTCATAACAGCCATGGAAGGCACTGAAGCACAGAGAGGTTAAGTAACTTAACACAGATCACACAGTCATATGTAATGGTGGAGCTATGGCTTGAATTGGGTCTAGACTAGGATCCTAAGCCCTGTCCAATACCCTGGGGCAAAGTGTAGATATGCCCTTCGCATGCCCAAGACAGGTGCTGAGCAGGAAGCAGAACAGGGGTGTGTACCACCCTCCTCTCTCTCTCTCTCTCTCTCTCTCTCTCTCTCTCTCTCTCTCTCTCTCTCTCTCT